ATTACTGATATCACCAGAACTTTTAATTTGACTGAGTCAGGTAAGGTCTTCAGCTGTAATTAATGATCGCGTCCAGCTGTTTTGTTTTCCAGCTGGGACTGGGCGTGTGTTATGACCTGCGCTTCCCTGAGTTCTCATTGGCCCTCGTGCGGAAGGGGGCGGAGATTCTAACCTATCCTTCAGCCTTCACCGTGGCAACGGGGACCGCCCACTGGGAGGTGAGGAAGTGACCTCACGGACGCGATGGAGAGGAGGACGGGGTGGGTGGGGCCGACGTGTGTACGGCTATCTTTCAGTGAGTTTTAGGACTGCTGTCGGTAGCAGTGTCTCTGCTGGGCTTGAGCAGGGAGATCCACAGACACGGACTTGTGTCGTCCCTGGTGTTTTCGGCACAGAGAGATGGCCTGGGTGCCCAATGTGAGAAGCCCACACAAGCAGTCATGCACACATTCTTAAGTCATGGGTGTCAAACCCAGTTCCCTGCTCCACATTAACCCTGAGTGTCGTTGGGCGACTTGGACACATGCAGGACGATCCTACAGGCCAAAGCCTAGTGAGGCCCTGTTGTTGGTAACTGACCTTAACTTGACCTGGGAAACCAAATCGAATCGCCTCCCGGGCGTTAGAAAGTAGTTTAAAATTGAAGAAATGATGAACTTGTCTGGGGCAATGAGAGAGACTTCATTGACACCCGAGATCTTCATCATTCCTCAGTCGAACCCGAGCCCCTCCTGGCTGTTCTGGTTTGTACGGAGCCCGGCCCGGGGTGACTTCATCGCTGCAGTTGGCGGGAGTGTGGGTGAAGGTGATCGAAGGAGAGGGGTCCCCGTCTCTGAGGCCTGTTCCTCTGCGTGTGCCCCAGGTCCTGCTGCGTGCCCGGGCGATCGAGACGCAGTGCTTCGTGCTGGCCGCCGCCCAGGTGGGGCGCCACCACGCCCGCCGCGCCTCCTTCGGCCACGCCCTGGCGCTGGGGCCCTGGGGCGAGGTGCTGGGGGCCTGCGGGGCCACGGAGCCCGGGCTGGCGCTGGTGGAGGTCGACCTGCAGCGCCTGCGGGAGGTGAGGAGGGACATGCCACTGCAGCAGCACCGGCGGGGGGAGCAGTTCTACAGCCAGGACTGAACCACTGGACACCTGCGGCGGGGGGAGCTATTCAACTTGTTCTCCTATTCTGTGTGCAGCCCTGGGGGGGGCAGCACAGAGTCCCACTGCTTCTGCTTGCAGCCTCTGACCTTAATGACCTAATTGAACATTAAGCAATTAATTTATGGTCAGTTTCTTCAGTTTGTAATCTGTACCGAACTGAAAAGCTTCTTCCTCCCTGAGCTTCTGGGGCTGTAGCGAAATCTGGGGTACGTCCCTGAGCTCTGGGGTACGCGCTTAAACAGGCGCAGTGGCCGCACTGCGTTGTTGTAGCGCCCCCTGGCGTGTGAAGTAGAGGAGAGCCGCCGCGGTTCTGCGTCGGCACTGAGCTCCGTGAGAATATCTCCCGTGCCGCTGGAACTGTCACATAAATTCTGCTTCGGTTATTAAAATCACTTTTTCAGATCTGATTATTTTCTTGTCGTTACTGCGTTAGGTTCACGGCTTTCGCCAGTGTGACCGAGAGCGGCGATGTTTTACAATAAAAACCACAGATGGCGTACACCAATACGACTTTGTTAACACGCAGCGTGCCCAAGGAAAGAGGCGTTTTGCGCTCCTCGTACGGTTAGAAAGTGATCTTCTTCCGTGTACAAGTGTTCAAACGACATTTATTTCAAAAAGTTTTAAGTAGCTGCGTCTGCCAGCGCAGTGCTGTAAAAGAATAAGTCGAGGTTTATTCCTTGCTGAAAAGAGACCCAACGTCTCTTCCTCTTCGGGGGATGTGACACCCGACAGCTGACACCTGAAGAAGGCTCCACAGATGAAACGTTGCCCCTCTCTTTTCTTTTCGGCAGTTCATAACCCTTTACCTGTTGCTTTATTATATATAAAAAAAAGCGGACAATCTGTTTTTGAGGACAGCGTGTCGGAAACACAGAGCGTCAGTGGCGGAGTCCAGCGGCAGGTGGCGCTGTGGGTTACAGCTCTAGGCTGAAACTCGATGGTGCTTCAAAGAGCTGTCAACACAACCAGCCGCAGCAACGGGGACTTACAAAGAGCCGCGATGAGCCGAAAAAGGAGTCGTTTCTTCTCCGCCGTTGCCGAGCCGCCGGACCTGAAGAAGGTGTTCATGGACTCCGCGGGCCAGAGCGACGACGACTTCGCCGACCTGGGCGCCGAGCCGGAGCTGCAGGTGTCGGTGTCCGAGATCGCCGATCACCTGGGCAGGAGCATCTCCTGGGCGCTGGACGCCGCCTTGCGCCAGATCCGGAGGGTGGTGAGCGCCAGGATCCGCGTTTTAAGGCTGGAGCTGCAGGACAAAACCGCAGAGATCGAGGTGCTCCGGGCCCGGCTGGAGACGGCGGGTTCGGGGCCGGTGTCGGTCCCCGCTCGGGGGCCGGCCGCGCTGGGCGCCAGACCCCCCCCGGCCGGGCAGCCGGCCATCAGGCCCGGGGACCTCAGGAAGCTGAAAGCGGGCGCCCCCGAAATTAAAAAGGAGAAGGTCAACGCCATCTGCGACTACCTCATGAAGGACAAGAACGCCCGCAGCAAGAGCGGCGCCTGGTGCGGCGGAGCCGCCCCCTCCGGCACCGACAAGGAGCGGGTTCCGAGCTCCCCGCCCCCGCTGTGGGCCGAGCCCGGCCCGGAGGAGCAGCCCGGAGGGGGAGCTGTGGAGGGCGGCCCCGTCTCGGAGGAGCTGTTCGCCCTCCTGCCTTCACACGGGAAGCTGCTGGACCGGTACCATGGTCCGGACTCTGCTGGAGATCTGTCGCCAGGCAACTCACCTAGGTACCTGCAGCCAGGTAACTGTCGCCAGGCAGCTCAGCTAGGTACCTGCAGCCAGGTAACTGTCCCCAGGCAAGTCACCTATGTACCTGCAGCCAGGTGACTGTCGCCAGGCAGCTCAGCTAGGTACCTGCAGCCAGGTGACTGTCGCCAGGCAACTCAGCTAGGTACCTGCAGCCAGGTGACTGTC